ATTAATAACCATATTGGGCCTTAATCTGTATTACAGTTCAGTAAAACAGCATTTTATATACTTTTTGAATGGTTTTAATCCCTAATATGTAAATTACTCGACAAATAAAACTCATTTACATTCATTAAGAAACTACTTTAAGTTTAGTCATTTCTAATAGTTTTAGCTGCAGTATTACACTATTTAGATTATTCTCCATAATTAATAATAATATAGGGCCTCAATATGTATTATAATCACGTAAAGCAGCATTATATATACTTTTTGTAGGGTTTTAATCCCTAGTATGTAAATTTCTCAGGTAAAATCACACCATATGTTACACTAAAGGGTCTTAACACCATTTTTTATACTTGTTAGTGTTAACCAGTCATAATCTTTTGACCTGAATTAACCGTTTCTGATTGTTTAGCTTCGTGTTGCGGATACACTTCAGCTATATTATTGCACTAGTTGGATTATTCTCCTTAATTAACAACAGCGTAGGTCATTTACTGGGTATACAGTCATGTAAAGTAGCATTTTATATACTTTTTGTATGGTTTTAATGCCTAATATATACATTTCTCAGATACAATTACATCATATAATACACAATTCTTACACTTGTTCGTATGAGCCAATTATAATCTTTATTACGTTGACTTAAATGAACTGTTTTATGCTGTTATACTGCATGTTACGGATGAAATACAGCATTATTTTAGCTATTTTATTACACTAGTTAGGTTATTCTCTGTAACTAATAACACCTTAGAGCATTTATATGCATTATTTTCAGGTAAAACAGCATTTTATATCATTTTTGTCGGGTTTTAATCCCTAATATGTAAACTACTCGGGTAAAATCACACCATAAACAACACTGAATGGTCGTAATCTTAACTTTCACACCAGCTAGCGTTGGCTAATCATATTATTTTTTTACTGGAGGGCAACAGCTGCTGTCTTAAATGTGCTGCATTTAAAAGCTTTATCTTGTTATATTGCGTGTTATTTGTCTGACATTAAATTTGTTTTATTGCAAAGCACTTCATGATCTTGTTTTTAAAGGTGCCACACAAATAAAGTTCTGATTATCATGAGTTTCCTGAGGTTCAGCAGAACTTTAAGCAAAGGTTTCAATTTCAAATCTTTTACAGAACTCACACTTTGCTTTTTTCCCTCAGAATGTGTGAACAGAAACTACCAGCTTCTCTCCGGTCCTTTAACCTGAGCTCAGCCGGACCTCAGCAGGACCAGAAAACGCTGCGCTGGAGGCCAAACAGATCTGGAATAAGCAAACAAATCAGCCTCTATTCACTGGAGCCGCACTGAACGGATCTTTGTTGTCGGTCGCACGAGACCAGGAAGAAACTGTTCCTGCTGCCAAAGCTAACTCGAGTAGGAGTGACGAGAGAGGAGAGAGGAGAGAGGAGAGAGGAGAGAGGAGGCTTCAGTGTCCTCTTGTCTGCGTTTATCTGGGATCGTCTTCATCTGGTGGCGTTTCCTGAGACTCATCGGAAACACGCAGCGTTTTAAATACATGCCAAGTTGTTCACACGACCTAAGTTTACATATTCTCTGGTGAAAAATCTACATTTTCCTGCACATTGCAAACTTTTTATTACTTTGCGACACTTCTTTTTATCTGTCCTGGAGCACTTATCGTCTATTGACTTGCACATGTTTATTTATATGCATATATTACATGTCTTCCAACAGTGTTCCATATGCTTATATAGATCATTTTCTAATTTGTCTCGAGATTTATTTTTTTTTTTGCACATTGTCATTTTTTACACAGTCTATTTGCATTTTACTTTCCAGGTTTGTCTACATATTTGCACACTGCATGCTCTCTTCACTGTATACTTGCAGGTTTACATGCATTTTTAGTCCCTCGCTCACAGTTCTCAGTAGATTTTAGTACTTCTGTGAATAGTTTTGTGCCAGAAATGTGCTACGTTTAGAGTTAAATGTTGGTTTTGACTGTAGCTTCTGCAACCAAGCGAAACGATCAATAAAATATCTACTCATTTATTGCTGCTTTAAAGGTTTTTGTTATTTATCAGCGTTTTTATTTATTTGTGCTCCAAAATAAAACGTCCAATTCCTCATATGTAAAAAAAAACTTACTTGGTAAAAAACTGAAAAAACAAAGGAGGAAAAAAACAACATTGAGCTTCCGATGTAAACTCACCTTGATGGGCCGCTCCAGCTCGGGCTTCTTGTAACGCAGCCACATCATCCCGACGATCGCCATGGCGATGCAGAGCCAGTTGAAGAAGCTGAAGAAGTTTATGACGGAGAAGATGTCGTTGGAGAAGGCGTAGAGCAGCGTCATCAAACACTGCGGACAAAAACGAAAGAAAGAAAAAAGTGGCGACGTGAACGAGGATGTAACCCCTAAAACCTTAACTGTGGGTGTCAGAGTTACATTTTTAGGCGTTTTCATGCATGAAAACAAACCCATCGTGCTTTACAACGGCTCCAGATGCAGCTCGAGCACACCAGCTCACCTACAACTCGACCACTGTCACACTCCTGGAAACTCACACGGTTGATTTCTTTTGTCTGAATCTGTATTTTTATAGCAGTTTTAAGGTGGAAAAGCTCAGTCGTGGTGATGCTCATTTTACTTATAATGTGCCTTCAAACATATTTAAAAAAAAACCATAAGGACATGCTGACAAGTTAAAAGAAAAACTTGTTTTTCACAGGAGGGTGTCTTTAAAACGTGCATATTTTGAGATGTTGGTGTATCAGCGTCTAGTTCACAAGCAGCAACCAGACACTAAAGTTTGACTAAAATGATGGTAAAAAATCATCAAATTCATGTTAAAAAAAATGTTAATTTTTTACCACTTTAACTAACTTTTGTGGATTCAAAGTGTTTGGCTCACGGCGTGCAGACGTCCAAAGTAACAGTACGTACAGTGAATATGAGTGAGGGCAGTGGGGTCAGCAGAGTGGGGTGGATCATGGACAGCAGACTGGGCAGGTGACCTTCCCGGGATCCCACAAAGAACAACCTGAGAGGGAAGGACATTCATGATCGTATGACGAGATGCCGGGTGTTCGTGCAGGTGTCTTTCCTGGACCTGTGTGGGTTTTTTTTTACCTGGACGACGTGAACAAGGAGCCGTTGACGGAGCCGAAGCAGGACAGACCGACGAACACCGGGATGATCCAGGCCATGGGGCCCAGGTGGACGTTACCGAAATCCTGCAGGACGCACACGTGGAGGCGTTAGAGGCAAGTATGGTGGTAAAAGTAGGCAAAACATTCTGCGCTGGGGTAATTCTACATGTAGGATATGTATATTTACACTTTAATGCTCCATGTAAAGTGTATAAAATGAGCTTTATTCTGTTTGTTTTTATTTAATATTGTTATTAGCATCCAAATAACTTGTTTTAAATCTTTATTTATTTTATTGTCAATTTATTCTCTTTTTCCCATTTATTTATTTATGTGTTTTCTGTGTATTTACTGTTTAAGATCATCTTTATTATACTCAAGGGCCAATTTGTCCTGTAGTCTGCAGCTGTACACAACTTTAACACGCTCTAAAACCACACAACAAACTACAAATATGACAGTAAAAATAAAATCAAATTTTAAAAAAATAATAAAATAAAAATGAAATCATCATCAGTCAAAGACAAAACAAATATGATGATTTTTTTTTTTTTTTAAATAGACTAAAATAACATAAATTACTACTATTATTAGTATTTTAGTGCTGTGTTTATGGTTTTACCTTCTATTTTCTTTTTTTTCCACTTGTTCCTTCCCTTAGCTGCATGTGGAATTTGATTATTCTATCTGGTGTTGTTGTATTGATTAATTAAAAAAATATATTTAACTCTATTTTTCCAACTACTGTCTGACTGACCAGCCTTCTGTTCTTCAATGCTCTTCCTGAATATCCTTATTTTCTTTTTTTTTCTGCCAGTAAAACACTTTGTAAACTGCTTTTAAAAGGTGCTATATAAATAAAGTTATTATTAATATTACTACAAAAAGGCTAACAGCTTGAAACCATTTTTTTTTTTGCACTCTTATGATGAAAACGATTCACAGCAAATACGAGCCCCACAGATGGCAGAAAAAGTTTTTCTTGTTCCAGTAGTAAGTAAGCATTCCTACTGCTGAATTATTATTGTTAGAAATCTTTTCCTAGAATCCCTCGAGGAGCTCATCATTTATCATGTTTGTGTATTTCGTAGCTGCAGCTGTGAAGTAGGATCAAGATTTCCCTGAAATTCAGCGCAGAAGAAGAAATCTGCACAAAAACAAGAATATTAAACGTGCAGCGGTTTTTAATGCACCGAGCAGCTGGGAGGTGATTATTAACTCACCTCGGAGGGTGATGAACTTCACACAAACAGCAGAGCGCACTCACCACAGCCACGGCCTCCGAGTGCAGCATCTTGTCGGGGGACAGCGTGGTGAAGTAGGCCAGGTTGGTGAGGACGTACACGGCCGTGACGATGGGCAGCGAGATGATGATGGCTCGAGGAAGGTTCCTGCAGGAGCAGACGGTCCGAGTTACAGCAAAAAGTCACTTTCACTCACGTTCGAGCATTTTAAAACGGCGCAAACTCACTTGTAAGGCTCAATCATCTCCTCTGTGACGAAGTTCAAGTAGTTCCTGGAGGCAGAAGAAGACAAACGTCAGATTCTGAGCAGTTACGAAGCAAAACTGATGCAATTCATGTTGAGCAACTGGTTCAGAGTGGCTTCTCAGAAGGTTAAGCTAAGATTTAAGACGGAAAGATGCTTTATTTTGTTTTTTTGAGTGACTAAGCTTTCAATTCAGTCCAATATTATTAATATATAAACCCTAAACCTCGTATTTATTCACTGAACCTACATTTTTCATACAGCTACACCTCGTCTGTCACTTTTGCACAACTTTAAACCATAACTTTGACGTACACGTCCAGCAACGTGCAAGTTTTTAGAGTTCTTAATATGAAAAAAGAGCCGTCCATTGTTCTACTAGATGTTTATATCTTATATTTGCACATCTCCTCATGATTCTGTGATTGCACTGACAGGATTCCTGCTGCTGGTCATAAGATATCATGAAGCTAATTTACAAAATATTGACGTCCAGCATGTGGTTTCCATCCGTCCGCCAAGGCAGCACGATTAGCATTTTAATCGAGGGAAACTGGATATCCAACAGGCAGCGCTGCGGTTTACAATCTGATCTCGCAGGTCAGTGTCTGAACTCACCAGCCACCGTAGGCGAACAGGCCGCTGTAGAGCGCCAGGCCGATGTTGCCGAACTCGTACTTGGAGCCCTTGAAGGAATTCTCTGGGAGAAGTTCGTCCGTTCCGCCTGCAGAAGACAAACCGGGTTAAGACAAATGAGAAAAAAGCTCCTCCTCAGTCTGGAGAACCAGTCGATGGAATACACAAAGAGAAAAAGGCTTCGGAGGGGGGTGAACACAAATACTTGGTTTAAATCCGCCCCAGTGTGCGGATCAGAGACGGGCTGAGACGGTCAATAAGCGACCCAGACTGTGGATCTGCGGTCGGCCTGAGGCTCATACGCAACACAAACACACAAATCTGTGGTTCCTTAAAGGATGATTCTGGTTTATTCCAGCCTGCTGCGTTTCCTGATGCTGTGAATATCGAGGCTTTGTGGAGTCATGCTAACTTTGCATCGTTTAAGTTTCCACAAAACAGTGTGCAAGTAGAGTTTATGTGCAAAAAACGGTTTCTAAAAATCGCTTTAAACATTTTAAGCTACAATTAGGATGGAAAGAAGAAAATTAGATACAGCAAATAAACCATTTTTTTTTTAAAAATCACAGAACTATAAAAAAAAAAAAAAAACGGCGTGAACTGAACACACACTTTTATTAAAATTAAATTCAGGATAAAAATAAAGTTTTACTGTTATGATAAGAGTTTTTTTTGTGGTAAAACAAAACCTTCCAGGAGTTTTAAATTCCTTTAAATGGCCTTCAAGCATCTAAATCACAAAACCTGCCAGTGGATTTAAAAGGCATGATTTCATTGGAAAAATAAATAAATAAAAATCACCGTAATCACACCATTTATCAGAGCCAGAGACTAAAAACACAAAGAACTGATGAGTTTTCGACTTTTTTTCCCTCCAGAAACTCAAACAAAACCCTAAAATCAACATATTTTATCTATATGACCATATTCTGCACATCTGATGTAAAAAATGCAGAAAAAATAAATTATTTTGTTTAAAAAGATTCTGTAAAATACAAAAAATTCTGTGTTCACCGGTGCGACTGTGAAGGTGTTAGAAACTGAACTGCGATCAACAGTCACATCATGAAAAACGTTTTCGCTGAATTGTTCTTATTTATAATTTATGGCTGCATAATGGTGTCATCCTGCACAAAAGACATTTCTGATTCTCTGCTTCTAGTCATGGTTGTTCTGTTTCCATCGAGCTGCAGGACTTCATACAGCAGAGAAAAAGAAGTCCACAGTGAGGAAAAACGACACTGGTTAGGGTTAAGAGGGTTCATGCACACATGACGTAGAGGAAAGGTTTAGAAAACAACAGTAATACGTCTAAACTTCTAATTTTGCATATCTGGAGCTTGTCAGAGCTGCACTCCTTTGATGTTGGTTTTGGTTAACGTGGGACTTGTTTCAGATGAAAACAAACCACCAGCGTCCACACGGCAGCGACCGTTCAGAGCGTTTGCACTTTACTTGTGAGGGTTTATGAGCTTTCGCCTCTTTCTCTCCGACCTCCAGGTTCCTAGAGGCTGGTTTCTGGGGATCCGAGCCACATTCCTGCTGCTCCCAACATGCGCGCACATTCTCAGACACGGCGACGGTTGCTAAACCAACAGCCCCGAGCCGCTGTTGGTACTGGGAAGGTTCGCCCTAAGCCACCGTGCAGCGTGGGAAACGTTACTGCGCTGTCTGTCCGACCCACTGTCTCACTTGGTGCTGGTTACCAGGCAGACAGATGTGGCCACCGCGCTGCCCTCACACAGATGTTGGACCTCCAGCTGAGGTTGAGCTGCCCCCGTTTGGATCTCAACACCTGCAGCGGAGGTTCCTCTTGAGGTTGTTTCAACTTGTTGACCCGACCGGTCGACAGAATGATGCTACTTTTTGCGTCTTTACTGCACAGTGTCGTAGGCGAACATCTGATCAATAAAACATGATGTGGCAGCTCTGAAACACGTCTTCGTTGTAAAGTATCATCGATGCTTGTTTGTCACCAAACGTTCTGTACTTTCTCTTTACTCTTTTATTTATTTTACTGTTTTGTATTGCTACTTCAAGTAAAAACCTTCATTCACTATTGTCCACATATTCGTTGACATTAGTCTTAAACTATTACGAATCTTTTATCTTGGTAATTGTATGCTCAGGATCTTAATCCATCCATCATCTGTTTTACTGTAAATCACTTTGTAACTGTATTTTTGATGGTAGCCACACAAACAAAGTTGTTACTATTGTTAACAACAAGTTAAAAATTAATATAAAAACAACACTTTGGGGCTGCAAGGTGGCGCAGTTGGTTAGCATTGCTGCCTCGCAGCAAGAAGGTCGCCGGTTCGCGTCCCGGTGGGGGCACCGGGATCTTTCTGCGTGGAGTCTCCATGTTCTCACCGTGCAGCGTGGGTTCTCTCCGGGTTCTCCAGCTTCCTCCCACACAGTCCAAAAACATGTTGAGGTTAATTGGTGATTCTAAATTGTCCGTAGGTGTGAATGTGAGTGTGCTTGGTTGTCTGTCTCTAAGTGTAGCCCTGTGATAGACTGGTTACCTGTCCAGGGTGTCCCCTGCCTTCACCCTGAGTCAGCTGGGATAGACTCCAGCCCCCCATGACCCTAGTGAGGATTAAGGGGTGTATAGATAATGGACACCTGGCAAATATATCTGCATCTGCGTGTCTAGTGAAGCCAGATTGATGGCTTCACATTGGCTGCAGAGTGAAGGATTCTAGGAGTTCAACAGTTCGGAGACACACTTAAGCGAAGTCAACCAGCGATGGCGCCACTTGTAGGTCCAAGGTTTAATGGTTGGAGCGTTGGCTTGAACCAGAAAGGCCGAATGATCTTTTCGGTATCGTGAACAGTTCAGGTGTTTACTAGCACTGTTAGCGGATCAGAACTTGGTTTCACTCCATTACAACGTCCGACTGGTCCACAGCAAAAGCAAACAACAGCACAAACACAAATGGGTGTAGCCTTACATCCATCCATCCATCGAGCAACGTTTTCCAGTTTCTTCTGGTGGATCCTGAGGCATTCCCAGGCCAGATGAGATATGCAACCCCTTTGTCCTTTGAGTTGCCCATAAAACCTCCAAAGGAAGGCGTCCAGGAATCATCCAGATGAGATGCTGAACCTCCTCCACTGGATGCTTTCGACTCAAAGAAGCAGAGACTCTATTCTGAACTTCCTCCAAACTCTTCACTCTATCCCGAAGACTGAACCCAACTACCCTACAGAGGAAACTCTTCGTCTGCTTGTATCTCTGTGTTTTGAACGCTACTCAGAGCTCATGACCAGAGGCAAGGGTTGGGATGTGGATCGACTGGTAAATCGAGAGCTTTGCCTTCCAATCGAGGTCCTCGACCGACTCATCCACATTCATACTTTTCCCATCACTCATGAACAGGATCCTGCTTGAACTCCTTGGCTTGAGGCAGCACCCCACCCCAAACCCCCCGTCCCGGAGGGAACGTTTTACCGGTTTCCAGCGCCGGTTGTTCTGGTTGTTCCGCATGTTTTTGTCCCTGAGTAGCAGCAGACAGCTACAACCGATAAACCAAACACGCACCTGCTGAGCGCTAAGCAACACAAACATAGCGGCATGTTTCAGCCTTCAAACTCATGGTTCCCACAATGCATGGCATGAGCTTGTGTTGTCTTTGAAGAGCTGTGTTAATGCGGTTTAGCAGAGATAAGAAAAGTCTGGCACACAGCCACATATTCATACAAATGGGAGTAAAGTAACGGCAGGTTCGACATATCTGGGACACATTCTGAGATATTAAACTCTTCTCTGCGCTAAAATCACATCTGTCGAGTCATTTTATTCACATATCTACTTGCAAACCAGTTCGCTGTTTAGTTTCCATGTTTGTCTACAGTTCATCTACAAAAACATGTTGGTTTGTTTTACAACCAGCTGAGAAGCCTCACATACGAACCACCTGAGGCTGTCAACCTCCCCGTTCATGTTGCAGCTTCTATCAGGCTTAAAATCAGATTTGCTCCTAACCTTTAAGGGAGGCGACTCGTCCACATCTCCTGCTCTGATTCCTTTTCTCTTGTGTAAGAGGAGGATTCTGCATTGAATAAAGAGCTTGTGTTTGTATTTTGCCGTGACTTCTTGGGAATAAAGAGGTCACAATAAAGTAAATCCAGGTCCGTTTTTGTTGAATCCGGGCAGAATCTACTGAATAAACGTCTTGCATTTGAACAAAGATGTGTTTTATTCCGGTGAATTTAAGGCCAAACCCTCTGCTGTTAAGCAGAAGGAACCTTTTTGCTCAACTTGTGCTGCACAAACACACAAGTCTATTCTTCTGTTCAGTCTGCGGTTTACGGCCTCGTTTCTTCTTCTGTTCCTGCCCCTCATTACCTTCCGCCACACTGGTCAGGAAACCCTGCCATCGACTGGTCACATGATACTGGTGCCAGGCGGTGAAAGTGACACACAAACGCACACATAATGAAATATGCATGAACAATGGACGACACACAAACACTCACTCACGTAGGTGCGCTCGGGCCAAAAAAGACTGAATGGACTCAGTTCCTGCCTCTAGTTAGCAGGACTTGAAGAATTGAGCTACTAAGTGGAGGCTTTGACAAGAAAAAATAAAAGTATTCACCTTAAAAGTAGTTTAACATGTAGAATAATCTACTGGTTCACTTTATTTCCAGAGTCAGGGTTGGTAAGTTCAGTTTGGAGCATAAATTTGGAGGCAGATGTCTTTAAAAACATACTTAACATCAGTGAACACGTTGTTAAAATAATCTTTTGTGGTTTTGTTAGACGGTATTTGGCAAATTTGTCCTCCAGTAACCCCACCTAAAGGCACCAACTGTCACTTCCACATCCCCTTTTGTGCAGAAACAGAGCAAACAAGATGCTTTGTGCTAATTAGTGAGCAGGTTGGTACATTTTTGAGCTTTTATGCTAAGCTAGGCTAGTTAGCTTCAAGCTCAAGCTTGAAAGTGGAAACAATCTGTTCATCTTACACTCTGAGACTTCAAAAAAATTGTATATTTTATCAACAAATGTCCCAAAAATTACATTTTCTTTGAACAGATACACATAAAAACCACATTGTTTAGCACATTAATTTAATT